GAATAAAAGAAATTCCATATATAGTATAGATAAAGACAGGCCAGCGAGTGGGGTCTGTGTCCACTGTATATTGTCTAGGAACCTCTGTTGTTGAGATGGGTTATTGTTGGAATTTTTCTACTGAATCAGAAAATGCATAGCTCTCGAATGGTACAATGCATTCTGAGATCGTAGCATCTGAACTGAACCACTGAACTCACTGAGTAGTACCTCTGAACTGGTCCTGGTTGTGCTCTGTTTTAGTATTGGTTTCGGTTTCAAAATACCAGCAGCTGATGAGGTGATTGCGGGAAAGAAATATAGTCATCGATTTTTCTGTGTGTGGCAGCACTGTACAGTGAGCGCTGACATTGTCTGAAGTTTCACGAATTCACGGATTTTTCAGTGAGTTTCACGGTTTGACAGATTTTTTTCGTCTAGGAACACTCCCCGGCTATAGGAAATCGCCCTCTGAAAATTGCATCCAGATCGCTTGGGCGGTTTGGCCGTGCATAGGGTACGATACAATCACACGCGCACCCACACACACACATACCACATAGACGGGCGCGCACGTGCATGCGCACGCACACGCACACGCGCCCGCACGCACACACCGCATTCACACACATACGGGCATGCGCACGCACACACCGCATTCACACACATACGGGCATGCGCACGCACAATCACACGCGCACCCACGCACACACATACCACATAGACGGGCGCGCACGTGCACGCGCACGCACACGCACACGCACACGCACACGCACACGCACACGCACACGCACACGCACACGCACAGGTGTGAGGCGAAAATTTAAGACAAACCCCAACGAGAGACGGCTGCAGTTGTATGTGTGTGTATGTGTATGTGTGTGTGTGTGTGTGTGCGTGTGCGTGTGCGTGTGCGTGCGCGCGGCAGTGCTAGGCTGTTTATATACCGCAGCCGCAATGGCTTTGGTGTGTGCGCATACGGATTTGGCGATCTTAAAAGTTGGTGCGGGTTTCCGATAAATGCCGAAGTTTCTTCAGGCACATCACCTTTTAGAAAATTGCCTCCAAAAGTCACTTTACGATCGAAAAATCGCGTTCTAACGTAGCGGAATGTATTCGCGACACCCAGAAGGGGCCCCAGTTGGATTCGCGTGAGCACACGCGGCACGGTTTCGGAGGAGATACGGAAAACGACACTTCGGCTCTTTCTACTATTATATAGTAGATATATATATATATAATATGGACGAGATACGATTATCAAAAGAGGTAATATAATTATGTACACTCGTGCACATACGCACGCGCACACACGCGTACGCACGCACACAGACGCGCGCGCGCGCGCGCACACACACACACACTGCTAATGCTGGTAGTGCTGTTAATATCTGGAAGCTATCTATATTACACTCAAAAGGGCATGTGATTGGTTGGAGCTGCTACTACACAGCAGATGAGGTGATTAGAGTGAGGTAGGTAGAAGTGAGGAACAGAATGTAAGGAGCTCAGCCGAGTAGAAGTACAGAATGTAGGGGGCGCATCAAATGCTCAAAACCTGTCCATCCATGATCAAGGATATCTGTTAACATGCACACATCGCTCGCTCTACACGTCCTGCTAGTGAAATAAATGAACAGTAGCCTACGTATGTTACGCAGATATTGACTTAGTGGTTGTGAATTCTATTAGCAAATTATATTCAAAATATATCGCTAGGATATACCGATCGCAGATATCACAATTCAATTGCAACGGGTTGGTAATTGTAGAATACTAAGATCTATCATCGATATAAAGACGTGACATTGATATTGTTTGTGGACGATTCGCAAATCGATATGAACGTACCCCATCCTATCGCATACAAGAATTTCATAATGGTTTCCTCCCTGACAAATGTGATCACAATCATAGTGTGTAGATAGGCTCCTTCGCAGAACATCCAAAAGTAATTGCACGCCAGTAGGTACTGCGTCAGTACATGAAGTATTTGGCACCACGCCTACAAAATATGAAATAGCGCCTAATAAATTTACACTCTTGCTCATATATAGTACACCATACATCAAATCAAACGGTTATCATTACGCTCGTTTCGCAAACCGTGACCGTTCTGGCACACGCTGGCATTGAAAATTAATCGTGCACACAGATAATTAATGATGTCGCCAAACTCCGTACCTTGTTTTCCCGCAAGACATCCGCGTTTGTTACAATCGTCGCGTACCAGACAATCCACACGGTGTTGGTGAGTAGATAGGAGGTGAATAGATTCTTGTGAACAGTCACCCTGGCGCACTGCAGCTGCCTACAATTCAACATTAAAAACATTGTGAAATAGACGAGAAAAATCATTTTATAGATTACCATTGGCATATTTATCGTCGTCGTCGTCATCGTCATCGTCATCGTCGTCATCATAAACAGCAAAAACATTATCATCAACAACATCACCACCATCATATACCGGTTCAAGAAATGTCAAACTATATTCGTTTTACTTGTGACGTATAATTTACACCCATCATGATACCGCCGTCATGACAGTGTAAATTCAATCTTCCTGCAGGAAGTTATGACTATAAAAATATTACTATAAACACCTACACTGCATTCAACACTGCAGTCTACCAGGCATGCATTGCAAAACTATTGGGTTGTTTTCCCGCTGTCGATATTCTTTAGAATTCGAAGGAATTTAGAAAGGTTCATTATAGGGTGCGAAGCTTGCCTATTACACAATGTTGTTACACATTACATCGCTGAAAATGCCGCAGGTGAAGAGGGATTGGTTCGTTCACACACACACACACACACGCACGCACGCACGCACGCACGCACGCACGCACACACACACACATACACGCGCACGCGCGCACTCACGCACGCACGTACGCACGCACGCACGCACGCACACACGCACGCACGCACGCACGCACGCAGGCAGGCACGCAGGCACGCACGCACGCGCGCACGCACGCACGCACACACACACACACACACACACACACACACACATACACACATCCGGTGACGCGAGAATGTCTAGGTGGAAAATATAGTGGGGGACACGCTGATTTATCCAGCCTGAGATTTCAATGAGTGGGTAGAGTCCGCGTGTAAGGATAGCGTCGAGAAAGTTCTTGCGAACTTCCGTCGTTTGTGAATGATTATGGTGCAATGGGGTGGGGTTAAACCCTCAGTAGAATAACACGCCACCGTGCCTATCTGGTTTCCTATGCCATTTGATAATGTTATGCTACAGAAGATGCAATTTTGCAATGTGGAACGGTCAAGAGCGCGCAGAAAACTCATGCTTTATTTTAGTGTATGCTATAGCTTATGCGTTCTTAGTATAACCCACTGCTCGCCGTTTCGTATCTACTAGGCCTAATCACTGTCAGCATGGACGCAGTGGGCCTGACGATATGTAATTGCCAAGCCATGTATCGCATAATCGCCTTTCAGCTGCTCGCAATGAAAAGAGAGCAATGCCGCGTGAAGCTGCGGCGATAAGCGATTTACCATCCACGCGCATCGCAGGGGTCACATGAAACATAATATGCAGGCGCTGCGTCGTCATTGTAGGCACATTCGTTTATCGGATTCGCACACGGTGTTGGCGGTGAAACGCGGAAAGCATCCCGGTTCTTCATACTCTCACACGATATCATTCCGTAGGGAGTACGCTAGGATTTTCTCAGATACCGAGCAAGTTTTATATATCGAAAAGGTCGGCCGCCAATAATGAGAGACCAATATTTCAATAGTTGGGTTATTTTACTTACTTAAAATAGCCGAATATTAGCAAAGATATTATGATGAATACAAGTGACGACGAGTAGCCAGCCATGAATATGTGCACGTTGAAAATGTTCTCCTGAAAAGAAATAAACGCTACCTGTTAATATCCGTACTGAGAAAATGTCGATTTTGCCGCAAATGCGAGACAAATACTTAAAAAGGAAAGAGGTACTCACTAGCACCACCGTTTTTTACCAGGATACTTGTCACGCACGCCAAACAAAAACATGTTATTACCGAATCCAGATAATTAGGCATTCTGGCACTCGTCAATTTCGCACAGAAAAGAAATCACGCTAGAAATCGCGTTCCATCAACAAAATAGAGTCATAACACGAAACGTCAGCTTTCACTGGCTACGTTGAGTGAGTGAGTGAGTGAGTGAGTGAGTGAGTGAGTGAGTGAGTGAGTGAGTGAGTGAGTGAGTGAGTGAGTGAGT